CCCCCCCACCCCCCCCCTTTTTTTCCCAAAGCCAAGTTTACGGGCGATGAGCTTTCCCTTACCTAGGATGTTAATCTTGCCCCCGAACTCGGATACCGCCGCGTCAACTAGTTTCCGCACTCCGTCCGGGGTCGAGATGTCGGCCCGCACGACAATGGCTGATCCGCCCTCGTCCGTGATCTTCTCGACCACGGCGGCTGCCTGGGCGGCCGTCGAGGGCGAGACGTGGTTGATCACGACGGAGGCGCCGTGCCGGGCGAGCAGGGAGGCTATGCCGGCGCCAATGCCTCTGGTCTTTCCCGAGCCGGTGACGATGGCGACTTGGCCCTTAAGGGAAAGTGTAGAAGAAGAAGAAGAAGAAGAAGAAGAAGAAGAAGAAGAAGAAGACATGTTTTGTGACTAGGGGGTCGAGGAAGGGAAGGGCCGAGGGGTGCTGCTTGTGGAAGGGTATGTTTCTTAGAGGAAGAGGTGAAGCTTGTTCTGGGGTGTGAGAGCTCATTGTGTCTGGGCAGTTGTGAAGAAGGGCTGTTTATATAGTTTTTCATCTATACCCCCCCCCCCCCCCGCCTCCTATAGCTCAAGAAAGATACACGCATCGCTTTCCTATTTCCTTCCCCTCAAGAGTCCTGGTTATCTTCGTCTTTTGGTGGTAGGAATATCAATGTCATTGTCGATTCCAGGTGAAGCAGCGTACACCTTTCCCGATTAGGAAAATGGTATTATCGCTTTGCAGGAAGGGAAGCCAACCATGAACCGGGGTATGATTGGACCCACACAAACTCCACAGGTCCCGCCCATCCTTCCTTGTGCTGCTTCTCGAACCGCGGCTGGCCCCACCTCGCTCCGAACAATGTCTCCGCGCCCCGGCTCACTGTGACCGGGTGTAAGTCCACCCGCGTGTTCTGGACTCGGGGATAGGATAGGACAGCCTCATACAGGCGACCAAGGTGGAACGGCATAGGAAGGAAGAGGATTTTTCGGCGCAGAGTGGACTAGGCGCATAGAGAGCCACTAATAAAGTTCCTGGGTCGCATCCACCAGCTGAGAAGAGAGAGAGGCTTAGGGATTCTCATGTTTCCCTGGCGGACTTACCTGTGTGTGTATCGTGAAGCTGGAAGTTTTAACTTGGGTTCAACTGGAGTCAACGCCCGCCCCATCCCAATAGGCCCTACACCGCTGCTCTGTCCTGACATCTCAAAGACTACCATTCCTTATTACTCCGTACCCCGTACACGCTTCGTATAAGTTGAAGGCGGAGTCTGTCCGGCCGCTCAGCAACGTCCCTCCCTAAGTCCACCCGAGCAGTGGTAGAAACAACTCACAAGGGCCGATGGTCTAGCGGTATGATTCTCGCTTAGGGTAACACCCTTAGCAAGTCGTGATGAGCAATCACATGACTAATATGCGAGAGGTCCCGGGTTCAATTCCCGGTTGGCCCCCTTCCTTTTTGCTCTTTCTTTTTCTCTCCTCTCTGGGGGTTAGGTGGTGGGGGTTGGGACTGGGGGGAACTTTTTTCACCTTGTTCTTGTTGTTTTCTCGGTTCGTTACTCTCTTGGGTGGATTAATTCTGTGTCTGAAATATCTGGCTGTTGATACACCCCCTTTCCCTCATCACCACCCAAGCACTTCTCAAGCTGTGAGCCACGACGAGACGAAAGGACGACGTCGTAACATGAGCGTGCATTACTATTCATACATTTCCATCGCTGCCCCCCTGCGACGGGTGCCACCCCGAAAAACCTGTAATATCAATTCCCGCTTCATCCCCTCTAGAAAGATGATAAAAATGAGCGCTATTAAACCCCAGCCACACGCCGACCCTGAACCTGACCATAACCCTGACCCTGACCCTGACTCCGCGTAAAAAAAAAAATGATAAATGAATCTAACTGTCCACTCTTCCGCTAACACGATGCAGATTCGAAAGCATCCTCTCCATCAACGCCGACGAGTCAGCCGGCACGTCCGGTAACTCGATCGCTTCCTTCGCACCCCCCTGCCCATGGCCCGTCTCCAGACCACGAGGCGCACCCCCAAGGGCGCCACCATTCGCGGGCCCATCGCTCGGCCGAGGCATGCTAGGGATCGGAGGGAGCGGGATCGGCGTCGTTGACGTCCTGAGTGCAGCCGGGGGCGTGGGGGTCGGCGTCTCGCTCGTCTTCGCGCTTGTGCTCGCACCCGCATTCGTACTCGTCGGTACCGTTGGCGTCAACACCTTCGGCGCCTCAGGCTTCGGTTTCGCCATCGCCGCGAGGTACTTTGCAGGGAGCGGGACCGGGCTCTGCTTCACAGGCGGGAGCATGGGCCTCGGAGCCTGGAAAGATATCGCTGTTAGCTACGTGTCACTTGCGGCGTTATCCGTGGATGGTCGGAGGGGTGTGGCAGCCGTACCTTATCATGCTGGGTGTTGGTTGTCGGTGGTGTGGGTGCATGATAGGGCTCGGGGGGCTGCTTCGGACCTGACTGCGGACGAGCGCTGGCGGCCTGGTTTGGAGTGGGGCCCAGAGCGGCTGCCGCCGGGGGCGGTGGACGGGCGGTATTAGGTGCCGGCGAGTAAGTTGTGCTGGGCGGAGCGACTGGAACTGGAGGAGAAGGACCTGACGGGTAACTCACACCAGCCATGTGCTGGGGATAAGCCGCCGGGCGGTACGAGGCTGGCGGGGCGCCTGCCCCGGGTTGAGAATGCTGTCCTCCATTAGGTGAATAGACACCACCGTAGGGATATCCAGTTGAGTGCCCCGGCCAGTAGTTGTGCGGAGTGGGTGAGTTGGTGGGTGGGTTGGCCGGTTGTGCTTGGGGGCCTGCTTGTCCGTGTGCTGGAGTCGGCTGGTTCGACGTGGTTGGAGTATGCACTCGCTGTGCTGCGGCCGGTACCGCCGGCTGATTTGCCGTGGGCGTATGTGGCCCCTGAGTTGTGGGTGGCCCGCTCCTGTACGCACCACCGTAGCTGGGGTTATAGCCGGCAGGCCAAGCTCCCGCGCTGACTGGACCCGTGTGATGAGTACCAGCGGGCGCAGTTTGCGGATTAGCAGTCACCTGGGGCTGCTGGCTTGGAGGCTGGGGTGTCGAAGGTGAGGCGCTCTGGTGGCCCTGGTGACCCTGGTGACCCTGGCGGTTTTGATAGGCCTGGTAGCCTAGGGCGTTCTGGTAGGTCTGGTAACTTTGGTAGCTCTGGTAGTATTGATAGTTTTGAGTCCCCTGGCCGTTCTGGGTCTGGCTCCCAGTGTGAGGTCCGACATGGCTAGCTTGGGCACTTACAGCCCCAGGGACGCGAGTCTCATTGGGCCGGGACTGTTGCTGCTGCTGCGGCGTCTGCGCACCGTGCACACCTCCCTGGGCCGCAGGTGCCTGAGGGGTATAATAGCTTCCAACAAACTGAGGATCCGAGCCAAACGAGAGAGGGGTGGCGCCTTGGGTGGCTCCCGGCACGGGAGGACCCGTCGCTGATACCCTCGGCTTGTAGACGTACGGCCTCCCCGGTTCTCCGAAGCTCGGCGGCGCATACTTCGAGGGCCTGGGCGGCTTGGGGATCGTGTTGAGGAAGTTGCTCTTGGGGTTGTGCTGCCGCTGAGATACATCGCCTGTATACTGCGCCTTGGCGTCGGTGGAAGTCTCGCCGAGGTAGAACCACAGCTTGTCTTCTTTAAACAGGTCGACCTTGGCCTGCTCGCTATTCTTCGCATCGTACGTGCTGAACTCCGTCCAGGTATAGCCGGGGGCGAACTCGGCGCCCTTCCGCGGTGTCTCGTCCTCGGCGCGTTTCGCGTTCAGCTCCTTCTTCGCCTTCCTTGAGTTCGGCAGGGGAAGGGCATTCGGTGATGCCTTGGGGAGGTGGAAGTCGCTCGGATCGGGAAGCAGCAGCCACTTCCATTCGACCTCAATACGATCACTACATAATGTCAGTATACACCGTTGCATGGGACCTTTGGTGGCGGGGTTGACATACCCCTTGGGGATGATATCCACCAGGAACGTCTCTTCATCCTGGCGGTTCTCCGCCACAATGCCAGCGAATATATCGCCCTTGAAGTACTGGAACTGGCAAACATCCCCCTTCTTAGTACCCTTTGCGGCTTGGCGGATACCATCGTCAGCCTCAAGATGGCTGCCATCCACACGCTTATCTCGCTTCGTCCTGTGGAAGCGGCAGCTGAACTCGAACGCCTGCTCCTTGTACTCGGTCCCGTCGTCACCAAACACAGGGACCTCGGCCTCCTCGACGAAGACGCCCGCAGCGGCCGCACAGGTCGGGTGGTAGGCTCTCGCACACGTCTTCTGCGAGCACTGGAAGCAGGCGCCCCTCTTCGAGCGGCAGAAGAGGCACCTCAACTCCTTGCGCTCTTTGGAGATGGCGGACACGTTCATGACGACCTCTGCGCCTTCGGCCGTCTCAATAAACGTTTCCGGTAGGTACAGTGCGCACATGCGGTGGGCTTTACCTCCGTCTTCGGTTGGCAGGATCTCGGCACCAGGTATGTCGTTAGGACAAAGGCAGCAGGGGGGCTCCTCCTTGACCTTGACCCGGAGTCGTAGCTTCTTCGCTTTCGGTTCTCTTCCCGAAGCTCGCTTTCGCTTCCGCGTGCTCGTCTTGATGTTGGGCGAAGTTGTGTCGGGCGGCGTCGGAAGCGCAGACGCGTCCTCTTCCTCTTCCTCCTCCTCTTCCTCATCCTCGTCTTCCGTCTCTTCATAGTCAGTCTCCTCGCCCCTGAGTTTGCGTTCAATCGCGTGGACATCAATCCAGACGCTATCCTGCGCGAGGGCGCAGTCGCACTTCTTCGCGATCTTGCCCATTGGGAGCCAGCTGTCCAGGGCGAAGTTGACAGCTTCTGCACAGTTGTATCCGAGGTTGTAGCCGGAGTGGTAGCCGTACGGGTACGTCACGACGAACTCGCCGGGGTAGGAAACACACTTGTTCACCTTGATGCCGAAGTTGTTGAGGAGGTGGGATGGTGAGATTAGGAAGGACTTGTGTCGGAGGAACTGGTCGCAGGATTTGCCCTCTGTGGGCCATATGCTCTTCATGGCGGCCTCAAACCGTCGGGCGTCGGCCTGGGAGATGCTGTACCACTGCTTGGGAGCTCCAAAGTGGAGGTAGTTGATGCTGTAGAGGTCGACGTCCTCGAGATGCCAGGCGAAGGTCGCCTTCCACATCCCGAGGTAGAGGTACGCGGTGTTGACGCCGGGGACTTTTGTTCCCAGTACGTCAAGCAGGTTAGGAAGCTTATTTAGATTCCACAGCTCAGTCCGGTCGTCGAATAACGTGCCCATCAGGTCGGCGCCATACAGAGGGGCGGCGTAAGTGAGGGTCTTCCAGTATACCCGTTCTAGCTCTTCGCATCGCTGTGGTGTGAAATCGGAGACATCCATGCGATATTCAAAGTCCTTGAAATGCTCCTCGTCGATCATGACGGAACCCTCCCGGCGGCTGTACTTGCGGCGGGCAGATGTTGACTGCGTCTTGGGCTTACCCCTTTGAACACCCCCCATCCGCCTAGGAGGAGGCGGCGCATCCTCTTCTTCCTCTTCAGCCTCGATAGAGCGCATAGCAACCTCCTTGTCTTCGTCAACTTGGCCTCCTTCGGACTTCTTGGCCGCCTCGCTCGGCTCATCGCCCTCCTCCGTCTCCTGCTTGTCTGACACCGGCGTCATGGGCCGGTCCTCGACGGGAACCTCCTTAGGTGGCGCCTTCTGCTTCCGTGGGGGTCTGCCCCTGCCTCGCTTCTTCGCTGGTGTAGAGGTAGACGGGGCGGCGGCCTTCGGGGCGGGCTTGGGGCGAGGTGCCTTCGGTTTGTCGCTATTGAGGCGTCGCTCGCCACGTCGCGCGGGGGGTTGGTGCTCGCTCTGCTCGCAAAGATCCCGCCACTGGCGCAACGTGTACGCCCGCTGGTGGACGAAGTTGACCTGCCGATAGGTGCCGTTTGAGCCCATGATCTCCTGCTTGATCGGGTCTCGAACCCGGATCTGCTTGATAAGATCGTCGGGGTCGGGCTGGGCGTCCTTCCATTCTTGGGGCGGTATGATCTTTATGATACCTGATCGCATACCGTAGCTGTCGACTTTCTCCATCTACAACCCCGTCGCAACCCCTAGTTAGCGCACCGTGAAGGGACAAGCTTGGGAGAGACAAGAGCACATGCTTGCGGGGAGTCGTACGAAAAGTTTAAAATCCTTGAACTGGCGCATCGTCGGCTTGAATACGGCGACTTCCCCAGACCAGTGGTCCGGCAAGATCTCGCCGATGTCATCGGCGGGGGCAGCATCCTCGCACGGGTCCACGTCGGGCGCATCCTCGCCGACGTCGCTCAATTCAGAGTCGGCGGGGTCAGACTTGGTCGCATTGTTGGAGTCGGGCGTGGAGTAGGGTGCGGGATGCTTCGCGCATTGGATCTCGGCAAGCCCTGCCTCGGGCTCATGGGTGACGTCGGCCGTGCTAGCGGCG